AGGCACTTCCAGTGATGAAATGTGCAACCTGTATATAATGTATTACATGGAAGCTGCTCATGCCAGTTCTTATATGACGTGTGTGCGGACGGGGGACCCAGCCATGTTTCATCACATCCCTGAGATAGCCAATATCCCAGTCCCTGTTAGTCCTGACATGGTAATGGGACACGGCAGTCACAAAAGTACGTATTTCTTTCTTTGCTTGTAACTTACATGAAACTATTGGAAGCTTTGACACTAGAATATCTTGTTTTATGTTTCTATTAAAAGGTATGACGGAACATGAAGAAAGAAATATACAGCAACAGCCTAAAAGGGAAGAGGAGCAAGTGATGGATCAGGGTATGTACAAAATATGCACATACATAATGGCAAAAAATAAATTATTTTATTACAATGTTTTGTACCTACACTAAATTATTTAATTCGGCAGTTCTGAAAGTAATGAGAATATACATTATACCACATCAGCCAATCAGGAATCCTCTCCAGCAACAATACACTAAAATCTAATTGCTATGGATTACTGAACTTTGCACATCCTTATTGCTGATAGAACTACCAAAAGGAGTATATTGTAAATATAGTATTCAAAATTTATATACTGTGCGTGTGTGCATGTATATGTATGTGTATATAAATGTGTATGTGTATATATATATATATATATATATATATATATATATATATACCTTTTTTATATATTTTTTTTCTTCATATTTACATGCAGACCAAGCTGACTAACAAAATTTAGAAGGGTTGTGACAAACTATTACATTGACAGGGGTACCTACAGGGTATTCCTTCTTAAAAAGTGTTAGCTAAGTTGGGATTCAACAACTCTATGATTTCACTGCAGAACACAGTGTTGTCATCCTCTTAAAAGAAGTGGAAAAATCTGTGGATCTACTGGCAGCATCGAGGAGTAATAATCTTTGTTATGAAGGGGGGACTCAGAAAAATAAAAACTACTAATGCTAGTGACAGACTGCCTTGTATACAGTATATCATGGTTTTATTTTGCTTGCAGTTCTACTTATATCAACACTATTTACCTTGTTATGCCTCATTCACACGAGACGTCCGAAAGAACCCCTCTGAATGCCAGAACTGCTAGAAGGAAAATGCTGCTTAAAAAACATGCTAAAAGCTGCGTATTGCACAGGCGCTGATAGCATTTGAGCATAATTCATTCTACTGGCCACTGGAATGCATTAATTTGCATATGTTTTAAAGCGGTATTAAACCGCACTTAATAATAAATGCATAAAAAGTTTTCCCTCTGCAAGGCAATGTCATGATGTGCTAGTATGCATCGCATACTAGCACATTATGGAGGACTTACCTTAAAATGAAGCCCTCCAGTGGCGCTCTGTAAATGCTGGAGAGGCTTCCTGTTCTTTCTTCTGGGTTCGCGAGCTCTGGCCATCTGACCAGCTGAGCCGCGATAACATCACGCTTGCGAATGTGTGGAAGTCCCGGGCCACGACACAATGTTCTGAAGGAACAGCACGGCTATGCCGTTCCTTCAGATCGCATGCACCGGCTGTCAAAAGCATCTAATATTTCCTAAACGGTGCAGGTTTAGGAGATATTCAATTGACCTACAAGTCAGCTTTATTATAATTACTGTAAGTAAAAATAAAAATATGGAGTTTACTACCACTTAAAGCTTCTAGCAATTTATGTTCGTATAGTATTTTTTTCTGCTCTTAAGTGCCTCCCAAGAACGCACCTTTGGTGGTTAAATTCTACCCTTCCAATACACCTGCAAACACCTATGCATGCATGAACACATATAGACTTATATAGAGATGCTTTCAAAAGGCTTAAAAAAAAAAACAAAACCACACTCGGCGCCTAAATACGCAACATTTTTGCTCCTTGTGCATGAGGCCTTAAAGTGGTTTCCTGCACCTAAAGTCACTTTTCAAGTTTAGTAGCTGTGTGTTGCTTCCCTATGCATCAGGCTTTGTGTCTGTTCTATTATGACTGAAATGTATCGAGATTTTATTTTTTTTGTGTCACTCCAGACTTTATTGACCTGCTCAGTCGCTATGGGAAAGGTTGGTCTGACAGTAGAATATATTCCTCCGTTTTGGATTAGGAATTCCAAAACTGTATTTTTTATTGGCTTATGTTAGAGCCCAACTTGTGTCTTCTACTCTCAGCTCTAGCACCACTGACAGCAGGCAGGGTAGAAAGCAAACCCCTTTACCAGGGTTCCTCCAGACGTAGCTAGGGGTTCCTTTAGCAATGAGCAATTTCTGCCTCTCAGATAAGTTCCAATTGACACCATAGATCTTTTTAACTATCTGTAAGGGGATAATTCTTCCCACTGACCACAAGTGTAAGGAGCATTCTTCCCAATGAGTAATACACTAACGAATCATGATTTGTGGATATATTAAGTTTTACCAGAGGTTCCTTGAAAATGTTGAGAAAGGCTGCACCTATACCATTGCATAGCTGGCAATTTCTAAACCACATGGGATTGGTTGCAATTTTAACCACTTATCTTGATGAACAATCTCCTATGTTGTGTGATGCTTGATGTTCCTTTCTTGTAAATCCTTACTTCTGTAGTTCTGCAGTATATAAAAGAGTTTCCAGTATAATTAGTGGAACTGAATGCCGTGGTGATCCAAGCACCAAATGTCGTCTTTTGTGTTACCGTGTCTATAATTCATTGTTAAGCCTGCATCTAAAAAATATATATGGGAGCATTGGAAATTCTATTGTCCCAGAAATCCCAGCAGATTGCTACTAATTGGTTTTAGGAGAGGAAAACGTTTACCGTTCTCTAATTCCCTTTTAAGTTCCCCAAATGCACATGCATTTTTAATGTATGTGCTTTTATACGGCTGGTTTTAAAACTTAAATTTTACATGAGTATAGGCTCTGTATAGTTTCTGATTCTATTTCAGGCAGTGATAAAATTATTTAAATGAGCAGACAATAAGTAAAATACTTTGTTCAACAGCAATGCCAAAGTTCATTGCAGCCAGTTGGTTTCTATGGCAATAATGTACCGTTTGTAACGTTTATATAGATGTGAAAACGAAGAGATCCGGTCTCCAGGGATATGTGCCTTTGTGATGTTAAAGCTGAACTGTATTGCAAATTAAATATGATCTTGTTTTCAGATGATACGTGTGTTCAGTCCATAGAGATATGTGTTGATACACGCTGCTTGTTATTCCCGGAGTCACTCAATAAATTGATTGTTCATGGTCGATTTATATGGCATTGTGAGACATGCTAGGCAAAGAATGTCATTTTCCTTTTCAGGTTTCCCTGTACAACCTGATCTACAGTTCCTTATTTCAAGCAAAGGGGTTAGTCTCTGTAGATATTTTAAAATGTTTTTGTATTGAGATGCCAAAGTTTTTTCTGATTATACCTCCAACTCCACCCCCCCCCCCCCCCCATACTCAATTGTATTTGCATGAAAAAAGTCTAATCTAAAAGTCCCAATTACATGCTTAAAATTGTGATCATGTAGCAAGCAAGGTCCCAGATCGCCTTAGTTTTGGTCTGTAGGGGGGGGGGGGGGGGGGTTGTATGGTCTTGCACTGCCCAAGTTATTTTCTGTTGACATGGGCACTGCCCATTGTCTGAGAAGAGTGCATTGTAGGGTCCTCACAGAACAGAGTGCTGAAGCCTTCAGGAGTGACTCCATATGAGAGGTGGAGACCAGACTGGTTAGCTGGATCAGCAAAGACAATGTAGAGCTGCTTTTCACCACGAGTAACCACTATGTTTTACAGTTGTGGGTTTAGTAACACTTTAAACAGTTTGTATATGCAGTAATCATGCTTGTTATACTCACTGTGGAACCTAAAGGGTTAACCCTCTGCATTGTGGGAAAAGGATGTTTGATTCTGTCTTCTCTGATCCTCCCCTTCTTCCACAGTCCCTATTCCATCTGCCAATAGAACAGAGCCTTGGGGGTAAACTGCACACGCTCAGTTTGTTGTCTATTGCTAGAGAGTTATTTATTTATTTTTTCTTGGGAGAGTGCATGTGATCAGCACAGTGCCAGTTAGCGCTGTCCAGACAGACGGTCAGGGGTCCTGCCACCTCATAGGACAATCTGGGGAGAAGGAAAACTCCTCCTACAAGCTTTAACAAGAGCTCTGCTAGACACTGATAGAAGTCTGCTCTAACTGCTGATGAGAAAAGGTGTTTGGCAGTTCATATTTACTAAAATAATTGCATCTCCATGTACTGTGTACTACGGGAAACCAGATATAGAGATATAGTGAATGCAAGGTCATGGGTTTAGTTACACTTTAGGAGGTGCCATGGGGGGGGGGGGGGGGGGGGTCACACATTGTAGTTGATTCAGGTGAGTTTTTCTCATTTTTAAAAAAAGAACAGATTTGCATGGGCATCAAATGGGTGGGATGCTTTTTTTTTTCCCACTGGAGTTGTTATAAATGAATGGGTATCTTGCACACTGCAGCTTGAAAAAGCTCAGTACAGTGTTTTTTTTTTCTTTTTTACGATTCTAAAATGCAGCCCATTGTTTACATTGTAAAAAAAAAAATTTTTATTTGCGCCGGAACATGCATATACTCTCATATAAGCATAAATATGAATGGATTTTGCCTAGGTATGTATTGTACACAGGAATGCTTATACGCACAAAAATACGTGCAAAAAAAGTGCCTGAAATTACGTCCATTTATATGCCACATACATGACCTACCTTGGTGCTGTAGGTGTTTTTCATATGCACCTTTGAAAAGTTTAACACTTATTATTTCGTTACCCACAAATCTGATGGGTGACTGTAGAAAAAAAAATGGTTGCTGAAGTTCTATTTTCTTGGTCAACTTCTCGCTCTCAGCTGTGCAGGTTGAACAGTGAAGGAGCAACAGCTTACTGAAGCCATTCATGTGAGCTTCCCGAATTGAAAGCAAGATCACAACCATCACTGTGCAGTATAATAATACCCAATTGTTTTACAGTGCTGGTCCTTGCCTCTTAGCCAACCAGCCATAGGCGGAACGAACTTCAGGCGCTTCAGCAGGGACCAGCCGGATTTCGATCTGTCTGTGTGCAGACTGGTTGTACTGAAGTTGTTCTATCAATCAACCTCAGTACAACGAGCCTATCAGGTTTGTTTTGTGCAAACACTGCCGGTGGCTATAGTCACCAGCAGTGATCATTGTATTCTCATGGTAGGGAAACCTTACGCTGTCGGAATAAAATAGTGCAGTGGGAGGGATTCCACCACTGACTGTATTGATGGGGGAATCAAGAGATATCTTTACTTCAACCCTTAGTTGAAAAAAAGAAAATTGCATAATCTTTGACCAGCCTTAGTCTGAGCG